TTTTTTTTTTTTTTTTTTTTTAATAGCTTTAAGATTTAAGATTTAAGATTTAAGATTTAAGGGTGGAGGCTTATGAGCGTCCCGATGGAAACTTGTGTTCTCCATTGTTGTTACGACCCCTTCCGACTCCGATTCAAACACTCTTCTTCTTCTTCTTCTTCTTCACACCCTTTTGACCTTAATAAAGGCAGCAGCTGCCTCTACTCCAGAATCCCACTCCCAGAGCCCTACACCAAGCTTCTTCTATCCCTACCCACTCGCGCAGTTCCAACGCATAGTCCTACAAAGCATGCGACTCTTTTAGTCGACACTTTTCACGAACACCATACCCTAAAAGCTTTGCTCTCCGACCTCCAGAAAAGGGATTCCTGCCCTTTGCTATTACTTAAACACCATGGAGATTGGAACAGAGACCATTTCTGGCTCGTTGTTAAATTCCTCAGAAATGCTTCAAGATCCCATGAAATCCTTAAGGTGCGGCTTGTCTCTTAAGATTTTAGATTCAAATATTCTTTGGCTTCTCTTAGTTTTATATGTAATGATTTAATTCTATGCTAAAATGTTCAAAGCAATCTCATAAGCGGAGTGGAAAAGAACCAGAAAACAAACAAAATCTAAAGCAATTACAAACAAAGGAGCACGCCCAAGAAACTAAAAGACCCATCAAACTAAAGCTCAACTCCAAAGCAAACTCCAACCACAACAGTGGAACATAAGAATAAAAAAGAGCCAAACAAGAGAGATAAGACCTCCTCCAAAAAACAATAATCCAACTGAGAAACTTCAAGAACGAAAGCCCCAAAACCCAAACTACCAAAATAGAATGCAAAGATTCTTATGTTAATGAAGCTTTACATTGATCTTCTGTAAATCAGGAAAAGTTGATAGAAATAAGATTCTTATATCCTATTTCTTTTTTCAAATAACAATATATTTTCTTCGGTCTTAAGTACCATTTAAGATCTATATAATGGCTTGGATCCAAGTGCTTTTGCAAGTTCTAGTGCCTGTGACCAATGAAATTTTGAAACTTTATGCAGCTATTTGATACATGGAAGAGCATCGAGGGATCGCGGATCAATGAAAGTAACTATGAGAAAGTAATAGTTCTATTGAGTCAAGATGGTCTTATGGAGGATGCTGTATCAGCATTTCAAGATATGAAAAGTATTGGCCTTCGACCATCTTTAGGTACTTACAATTCGCTCATCCATGGTTTTGCTGCAAGGGGTAAGTTTGAAATTGCTATGCTTTTCATTGATGAGATGAAAGAAATCAATATGATTCGAGAAGCTGATACTTATGATGGCCTAATTGAAGCCTATGGAAAATATAGAATGTACGATGAGATGATCGAGTGTCTAAAACAGATGGAACTGGATGGATGTTTTCCGGACCACATAACTTACAATTTGCTTATCAGAGAGTTCTCCAAAGGTGGTTTGCTTAAAAAGATGGAAGGATTATACCGAAGCATTCTTTCAAAAAGAATGGATTTACAGTCATCTACCTTGGTTGCCATGTTGGAAGCTTATGCCAAATTTGGTATCTTGGATAAAATGGAAATGTTCTACAGAAGGATCCTGGACTCAAAGACCAATATGAAGGAAGATCTAATCAGAACATTGGCTCTCGTTTATATTCAGAACCATATGTATTCAAGAATAGAGACCTTGGGTATTGATCTTCACATCAAAGCTGGGAAGACAGATCTTGTTTGGTGCCTGCTTCTTCTATCACATGCTTGTCTATCAAGTCGAAGGGGTATGGACTCTGTTGTTCAGGAAATGGACAAAGCTAATGAAACTTGGAATGTGACTGTTGCAAACATTTTACTTCTAGCTTATTTGAGAATGAAAGATTTTAAACGGCTCAGAACACTGTTCTCTGAAATACGAGCAAGACGTGTGAAACCTGATATAGTAACCATTGGAATTCTATTAGATGCAAATAACAAAAGTTTTGATGGAACCAGAATTTTAGAGGCATGGAGAAGGATGAACTTGCTATCCAGAGCTGTGGAAATAAACACCGACTCGCTTGTTTTAGCTGCATTTGGAAAAGGGAGGTTCCTCAAAGACTGTGAAGAGGCATACGCTTCCCTGGAACTTATGGGTAGGGAAAATAAAGTTTGGACTTATGAAGAACTCATTGATCTAGTTTGTGAAAACCAGGGGGGAATGGGACTGAAAACCAGATAAAATAGCTTGGTATGCATGTGCCTGTATCAATTTTTTCTAGGGATTTGACCGCCATTGACAACCAGGAGAGCTTTACAGTGGGGAGTTTTATATGTTTTGTTTGTTGTAAATTTGATGTACTTTTAATGGTTATTACTTCACTTGAATCAATGGGTAGTACAGGTAAGATTAGTTGGTATCTTTCTCTGCTAAAGCCCTAAAAAAACAACTCTATTTCGTTGGATATTATTCTTGTGTGCATCTGATTGAATCAAGTGAATAAGATACTCACAAAGTTCTCCTTGATCGTCAACCACAAACACATTTTCGATTTCTTTGTCTGTTTGAGTACCCCCATCATTCTTTATCGTACATTTTGTTCCTGCAAGATTGAAGGGACTACGTTTATGTTAGAACTTTATAAATTTATAATTCAATTAATAAGTCTATTACTGTATTAATGAGCATAAGACCAGAAGTTGGAAAACTAAAAAGTAAATTTGAATTATGGACAATTTGTACAGAACATAGAGGACCTCTCCACATATCTCCTCGCTGCATGTGAAGATGGATTCGGAACTTGTCATAAATACCTATGCATAATGCAAGACGATTTCCCTCTTTTGATTCCCCTCACGAGATTTCATACGAGTACATCTTTGTTCTTAATTAGATCATGGAATTTTTTTGTCCAATAATTTAAAAGCATTCCATAACAATGAAGCTTCAAGGAAATAATAAAAATCCATCACTCTTTCGGCACGAAAATACAAAACAGACACGGGAACCATTACCATATACACTTGGCGAGGACTCCACGCCAACATGGCATAAGGAAGCCGATCCAAAACTCCGGCAATGAAATGATCGCAAATGGATCCATCACCGTCAGTTTCAGTCACATCACAGAGCTTGTGAACAAGACCGGTGACTTGGCAAGCAATGGGATCATCGTCGTAGGAGAAGAGCACGGCGATGAAGGAAGGGACGATAAAGTGAGAGTGGAAAGTGAGGAAGGTGCGGAGTAATGGAAGCTGAGAAAAAAGGCCGAGAGAACTGGAAGAGTAAATAGGAGACGTGAACAGTGGAAGAGAGAGGGGATCGGAGATGAGGTTGGAGAAGCAGAGAAGGCAAACCGTTCCTCCTTCCTGTGTGTGAAGGCAAAGCGATGATAGGTCGCCATGGAAGCATGATTGTGGAAGAACGGATTGATCCTGTTCTTCCTGTGCTGATTCGCGGTCTGGCTGTTTCCCTCGCCGAAGAACACTTGGGGTAATCTCTTCGAGAGATGGCGGGGCTTTTCGAAATTTTGGCGCGGAAATGGTGAACTTTTCTATTTATACCTCCCACAATGCGTACGGCAAAAGACTTTTATTATTATTTTTTAAAAATTTATTAAAAGTTAAAAGATATTAGGAATATTAATTAATTAAAATATAAAAACTTTGAATATATAATTGAAATAAAAGACCAACAATAAAATAATAATATTGTTTTAACGAACTATTTTGAGGAAATTATGTGCACCGTACACAATTATGGAACCCTATTTTTATCAATTACAATTTGATTGTTTTAATAATTTAATTTTTTTTTTAAAAAAAACCCCAATTTTGTAATTCCGTTTTTAAACTACAAATTTGCTCTCTTCAAACGGGTAAAAGATACGGGGAAGAAAACGCCATCCGTTGCATTCTTCCCTCTTCCCCTCCCACCCGTTTTACCATCTGAATCCGAGGGAATACGGGGACTCACATGGCGTTCTCTTCTTCTCCGGCGAGATGTCCAAATATCCATCTCTTTTCAATCCTGTTTATCCTTTTTCTCTTCGGTATATCGTATGTCTTCGCCGAGGATGTCCCCGCTCCCAAGTCCGGCAATTGCAATAATCCATTCGAAATGGTACTCCCACCCTCTCTTGTTTTGTTATTGTAATTGTACTGTTATTGTTAGAATAGGCTGGCTAAACTTCTATGGGGAAGGAGAAAGAACCAAACCCGTTGTTTGTCATTCATCTGGCATCTTCGGTTCTGATCGTTTTACCGTTGGCTGTATCTATTCCTATTGTTTGTTTGTTTATTTTGGGATGGATGATCGTGGTGTGAGACTTACGCATGATTTCTGAAAGGATTTAGCTAAGCATCTAGCGTTCTGCAATGTGATTGAAATTACGGTTTTGAGTTTCATCTGCGTTTATTTTCAGGACTACAAATAGATACGAAGTAATTGCTTTCGCCTGTTTTGTTGTTTAATTTTAATGACAACAGTAATTTTCTACGGTGATTCTTGTAAAAGTGGTTTGGATCAATAAGCTTTGGAATCTCCTTTCTCCTTGGAAGAGATTAGGAGGGTGGTTTCACTATTTCCTTCTACTAGGATGACTAGGATTGCATCAAGGATGATTTCTAGAAGGTCTTCGTGATTTTTTTATGAGAGAGGTTCACGATGACTCCTTGAATGAAATCTATGTTTGTCTTATTTCTAAGAAGGTAAGGATGAGGAAAGCCAAGGATTTCAAGTTCATTAGTCTGATTACGAGTGTATATAAAATAACTGCTAAGGTCTTGGTCGATTGATTGAGGAAGGTCATTCATAATGCGATTTTTTATTCTTAAGGAGCCGTTATTGACGTGAGTTGAACAAAGCTCTTATTACTAATTAAGCTATTGAAGATTATAGGAGCCATAATCAGGAGAGTGTTATCTCTAAGATCAATTTTGAAAAGACTTAGGATCACGTGTGTAGGGACTTCTTCAATAAAGTGCTTTGGAAGAAATGCTTTGGTTTTAAGAGGAGATCATTCTACCTATCCTTGTTAAGGGCAAGATGAGAGGTTGGATTCTAGCCTCGAGAATCCTAATAAAATGTGATCTTCTTTCCCCTTATCTTTTCTTGTTGGTTGTGGATATTTTGAGTAGAGTGTTTCCAGGGGGAGTGGAGAAAATTATTATTCAGGGGATTAAAGTGGGAAAGATAGCCTACATTGATCGGATCTTCAGTATCCTAATGACATATCTTTTTTGCTCAGACAAGGAAGAGTCTATTATTAATCTTATCTGAATTTTGTAATTTTCCAAATATACTTCTAGCTAGAAGAATAATAGAAGCAAGTGTTTGGTTCTGCACATTAATTCTGATTCTTATAAGCTGGCTAATTGGCTTCTTTTGTGGATTGCAAGATAGGTTATATCCCTTGTTCTTATTTTGAACTTCCTTGGTCAAAGTCCTATGAGTTTGTTGTTTAGGAACCTCATTTTGAAAAATGTTAAAAAAGCAACTTTTACTTGGGAGAAGAATTTCTTATTTAAGGTGGGTCGACTTACTTTTGTTCATCTTGTTTTGAGTGAATTTTGACTTCCTTCATCTTCTTGCTTAGGCTCCATGTTTCCATTAGCTGTTGGCAAGAATTTAGAGAGGATTATGAGGAGCTTTTTGTAGGTAAGAGTTGATAAGGGGAGGGTTCTCATTTAGCAAGTGGGAGGTGATGGAAGTATTTTCTTATTTTTTAAAAAATTATGCTAGAAGACAAGATTGACAAGTGATTATTGACTGCCACATTTTAGTGATATTTTTTATTTTATTTTTATATAACTTAAGCATTTGAACTTCTGAATGAGTATCATAATGAGACGTTTCGCTTTAAGCATGTAAAGAAACTAAATTTGTCTTTTTGTTGCACATTCTTCAGGTCAAAGTTAAGATCTGGGTTAATGATGCCGAAGGTGAAACCTTAGTTGGTTTAACTGCAAGATTTGGGGCTTTGCTGCCTTCTCAGGCTGAAGATGATCTCAAATTGCCAGCTGTTTTTATGAATCCTATAAATGGCTGTTCTAGTTCTTCAAAGGTGATGATAACTGTTCTTACTACATTGATTGTTAAAATTGACCTTTTGGTGTGTTACCCAAGAAGAGATTACATTTATTATTGAATGATGGAAAAGGGTATACCAGTATTATACTAGTGGACAGAAGCCAAACAACTTCTAACTAACAATTTAACAACTTAATAACTTAAGAACCAACAAACGAATCAGAACTGATTAACAGAAATAGCCCTCGGCTATACAAAAGGAAAGGGGATAGTAGCAGGGGAACTAAAGAACTACATCACCTTTAGGTTTAAGTGATTATGTTTGAGACGTTTTATTATGCTTCTGTATAATCATGATAATATTAATTAGCGCTGTTTTATAATTTTTCACGCGTCCATTGGAAGAAATTATCATTAATACTTGTAACTCTTTTTTCTTTTTTTGAAACAAACAAATTATTTTATCGAAAAATGAAAAGAGACTAATTCTCAATAGATTCAAACTTCACAGGGGAGAGAATACATAAAACAAGAATAAAATAAAAAAAGAAGATAAAACAAAAGAAAATAAGAAAGCATCCCAAGTAAGACGTAAATTTAAGAAGAAAAGTTCATCAAAGGTCTGGAGAGAGAACACCATGACGAGACTTGAAATCTTGCGGAATCAAACCAAACAAACCAAGGATGAACTGAGATAGAAACAACTAGCCAACTAGAAAACTGTCCATTATGAGCGGTAGCCTTCACTTTTTTCAAAGTTCAATATTTTTCTTATATAAAATTCTATGCATATTCCATAAGATGACCTTATTCAAGCATATTGCAAAATATGCTGGATGAATGGAGCTAGAAACAAGTGTAAGTTTCCAGTCTGGAAATACAGCCAAATCAGGTTCCACTACCTCAATATAATCGTAATCAAAAGGAACCTATTTAGAAACCGTGTACATTCATTTCACGCTGTTTCAAGATTTTAATTGCAATACAAACCTGGTACATTCGTTTCCCATTGTTTATGTGGAAGCTTGTTTGAAGCTAGAAGGGCGGATGTAAATCTCTCTCTATATCTCTCTAAAATATGACAAGGATGAGCAGCGATGAATGGTAGCTTGGGTTCGTGACTTTCTTGTGGAAGCTTCAAAGGTCAGTGACTCGTCAGGTTTTTAGAGAAGAAGAGGACTGGTTTCAATAGTTTATCTTCTTTCAAGTTCTGTCCAATTCGAAGTGGAGATATGGCCTCTCGTCCTTGGAGAAGTTTGAATGCAGAAGGCCTTTTTTTTTAATAAATCTTGAGGGTCTGAATAGCAAGGGCTGGAATGCATTGATAGGTGAGTTTAAAGCGGTCAAAGATGCTTAGGAAATGGAATGGGCCTTTGTGTTTGGGTGTTCAAAGCCGTTAGGAAAGGAGTAAAGGTATGGGTTGGACCATCCACTTCTTTTATGAAGGTTATAAATCCTTTAAATCTTCAACAGTTAGTTTGATGGTGAGAGAGAAGACTTAAAAGGAAGGGTTTTTGGTGGAGGAAGGGAGCTCACAAGGAATTCGGCCAGGGTCTTTGATGGGTTTTTTGATTGAAGGGGTTCACCGTTTGCCTTTCTGTTCTAGGGAGCACGGGTGCTCTTCTCCCAATATGTTCGAAAGCAAGTTTTGGAGAAGCAAGTACACAAACTCACAACCCCAATAAAAGAATGCATATGAATTCACCAAGAACAAATGCTCCTTTCTCCTTGGATTATTGAGGTAAATTTTGGTGGGATTTTTTACTGTACGAGTATCATTGTGCTTTGACTGATAGGGAACCGACAAATGTTGTATCTTTCTTTCGTGGATTGAGGAGCTCCTGTTAGGCTTGGGAAGAGGGATATTCATTGTTGGATCCCCATCCCGTCTAAGGGATTTTCATGTAGCTTATTTTTTTGTTGGTTGTTGAATCTCTCTCCCCCTAGTGAGTCTATCTTTTCTTATCTGTGAAAAGTGAAAATTCCATAGAGATTAAATTCTTCACTTGACAGGTTAAAATTTTCACTTTATAGACCTATGAGAAAGATGCCTTCATTGGTTAACTCGTTTTGTTGCATTCTCTATTGGAAGATAGAGGAAGATCTGGATCATTTGTTGTGGAGTTGCAATTTTCCGCGGTCCGTCTGGAATTATTTCTTTGGATAGTTTGGTTTTAGTGAGCTAGAGAAAGATATCACGAGAGATGATTGAGGAGTTCTTCCTACATCTGCCTTTTCGCGAGAAGGGTAGGCTTTTGTGGCGAGTTGGTTTGTATGCTTTGTCATGGGGCCTTTGTGGTGAGTGAAACATTGGAACTTTTAGGGGAGTTGAGAAGGACCCTTTTGAAGCGTGGTCCCCAACAAAGTTTAATGTTCTTTCTGGGCATTAGTGACGATTTTTTTCTTTTTTGTAATTACTCTTTAGGTCTTGTTTTACTCGGGGCTCCCCTTTTGTGGGCTTAGTTCTTTTGTATGCCTGTGTATTCTTTCATTTCTTTCTCAATGAAAGTTGGTTCTTTTATGAAAAAAGAACTGGTCCATGACATTATCTAGTCTAGAACTACTCTGGTGTGGTCATGGAATATATATTATTTTATTTCATTTTTAAATTCTAAACTGAACCTGTTATTGTGGTTTCACTAGTTCATAGTATGTTGGGTTAGCTGATTCATTTGATTTGGCTGTTTAGCCCTTTCAATTTTTTGAATTAACATTTTAGACATGAAGATATTGTTTATTTGTTTTACTTTACTTACCTGAATTGATGTCAAATCACTCGTGTCTTCCCAAGTCATTAACAGTTACGATTTACTTTACTTTTGTATTTTCTTTTCCCTCTCTCTCTCTCTGCAGCTATCTAGATCAGCTGCCTTGGCTTTACGTGGTGAATGTGACTTCACAATTAAGGCCGAAATTGCACAGGCAGGGGGTGCTTCAGCTCTGTTGGTAATAAATGACAACGAAGGTTGACACTTTACTAGAGCTATAAAATATTATGTTGGGTGCATATTAGGTATTTTATTTTCCTAGATTTAACTTGAGGACAGAGTGGGTATGTTAGACTCCAATTGTTAATGCATATGTGAAGAAGTGTCAAAAGTCAATTAATGTAAATGTGAATGTGAGGAAGCTTTAAAAAGGGAAACTAGGGGTCGGTAGTTAGTTAGAGAAGACGCACCTTATTATAGGCGGATGGGAATGTAGGGGGCATTTGTTCTCTTGTAAAAGGTGTAGTGTTTTGGAGAGACCTTCAGCCCCTCAAATTGGTTGAACTTTTGTGGGGTGAATTGCGCACTTTTGGTTACTGTTTTGGCCACACAAAAAGAATGCATACGATACTTATCAGTAAAGTATCAGACAATGTTGAGAATTGAGAAGTCACAAGAAAATGGCTGAAAAGATATTGGAATAGCGCTTGGAGATGAACGAAAAAGAACTGGAAGGGAGAAGGAATGAACTCCAGAAGATTCTGGCAATGGAGAAATGGCTGGAAAAATTAGTATAAAGGCTCCTTCCTCTCCCCTCCCTGTCGAACAATAACTTAAGATTATACTGATTAGACTCCTTCATTACCAGCAATGAAAGGAAATATTAATCTTTAGGAAAACTGGCTACGGATGGGTCGGAAATGTAACCATCAGATTCCATTCTTATTTCCGTAAAACTATTCACGACCTGACCCATCTCCTCCTCAAACCTGGTTTCTCTAAAATATTTAGTCTTCATTCGACGGCCCAACCTGCGGCGAATGGGAAGGCCCACTCCAATTCTTAGGTGCAATCAAGCTACTAGCCTTAGCTGGAGGGTCCTCCCCACGATCTAACACTCAAATGGCTTGGGGGGTTTCCTTAGAGGGTGTGAGCTTGATAAGACCATGACCAATACCCATGGGCTTTGGCCCAATTAGACTTTTCTTATCCAATTCCACAACCCTATTTTGGCTTGTGGTACAATTAAGTTTACCATAATCCATCAGCTTAAATATTTGGGTTAATTGGTGATTTAACATGGAATCAGAGCCAATTTTATATTTGATTTGTTGAGCCTTCTAGTGATTCCAATTTTATATTTGATTTGTTGAGCCTTCTATAAACTTGGATGAAGCTCACATGTGAGGGAGAATGTTGATATAATTAAATTTAACCTAACCCAGCAGCTTAAGATTTTGGGTTGGTTGGTGATTTAACATCATATAATGAATATTAGAATTTCGAGCTCGACATTGTACATCTGATCAGATTTATTTTTCAAAAACTTTCCCAAAGAGTGGCTTTGACTTTTCTCCTTCTGAAAGATGTAACCTTCGTGACAACCCATTCTTGGCAATTCCATTATTGGACCCTCATTGGCAGTCATATGTTGAAGTTTTACCCTTCGAGTATAATGCATACCTATCCACAAGACTGTATGATAAACTCTCATGGACGAATGATTGAGATTCTAATCCTTGTTTTTACCCTGTGGGTAGGCCCAATATTCTGTTTTATTGGTGATAAAAGTGGAGGTTCATCGGTATTTCCTGTCATATAAACGTAAGGATCAGTCTTATGGAGGCACAAATCAAAGTCAAATCTAACTCTGTTAGTTTCATTCTATTATCATTAAGTTGCCTTCTTCACTTGTCAGAGAAGAATTCGCAATGCAGCAACCATTAGTGATTGTGGATTGTAGAGGGGAGAGAAGCAACCTACTAATAATTTGAATTTCAAAGGTACTGATTTTGGAAAATTCCCTTAAAACCAAGGATTATCCTCAATCACTAAAATCCTTCCCTAAATTTTCAGGCATATTTTCAAAAGGAAATAAACTTTGCTCACGCGCCTTTCACCTGAATCGATCAACCCCAGTTATCCCTCGGATCTCTCTTTCGATAGGGCCCACAAATTTACGATTAGGGTTTATGGGATCCACTTCAACCAACCCTTTGACTTTTGTAGAATCGGACACAAAGGACTCTCCCGCTAGCCTTTCGATTGACCACTCTTTCTCATCCTAGAACTCCTCCCCTTGATTAAACCCTCCAACATCTTCACTTAGCCCTTGATCTCACCTTCTATGAAGAACCCCAATCCCCCATCCCGATTGCAACCAAACACCTCTAGCTGTTTTAGCCCCACTTCACTCCCTTTTCTCCCCTCTTTCGTAATGCATACATCAATGAATTTTTTCTTTTTTAACAGAAGTATACTTTAAATTTAAAAGGGAACAAATAAAAGAGAAAAATACACAATCCCTATATTTTGGACCGAGATAACTTGCTTGTGTGTACCAAGCCTTTTAATCTTGAATGTACGGACGTTTCCTCATATATTATTTTATCTGGACTTTTTAATTATTTGTGTTGTTTTCAGCGCATGATAAATTTGTCTAAGGCGGATAAGAATTGTAGTTTAGCATGAGTGTTATTAACTCTTCATCTATGTTCACAATGCTTGGTTGAATAATCTGAAAATGTCATTTAAATTTATGAAGAAGTTAACGGCCTGACTTTTAGATATTGAATTTGTAAACTGTTTTACTGTTGACCTAGATCTTTACAAGATGGTCTGTTCTGAAAAAGACACTGCCCTTAACATTTCTATTCCTGTTGTGATGCTTCCCAAGAGCAGCGGAGAAACTATTACAAAATCTATAACCGACGGCAAGAGAGGTGAGCCTTTCTATTCATGCATTTTCAAAGTTAATGAAAAATTTTAAAATTATCACGTTATGAAATTTTAAAATTATCACGTTATGTGCTCTGGTTTACTCGGTATTTCATATTTAAGATTAAATCTTAAGCTAAAGATGGTTCTTTTTTGTCAATATAGATGAATATGCCAAAATGATTGACTTGAATCCTGCTAAATGAGAGGGCACCTAGCTCAAAATCTTTGGGATGCTTATGATGGCCTCAGATCTTAGAACTAACTTCTCTCAAAGGAATTTGAGCCAGTTGCTCTGTTATAGGTGACACCATTATACATGGAAGAATGGAAGAAGGGGCTTGCCCATATAACACCTTAAATGGAGTCAACTGGAAGTATGATGTATGATTAGAGGTGCTGTTTAATTTATCTCTGGCCAAGCTATCCATTGAGACCACTGTTTAAGAGTAGGAGCCATTGTTTAGTATCATAATTTGGTTTTCAAACCACAATTATCAACCTTTGTTTGCTAAATCAAGTAGGGGATTGATACATTGTTCTTCACTTGAATTAAGTACCCTGATATTTAAGTAATTATTCAAGGAAAAAAGAACTCACAAAAATCTTTCCTTGGCTTAGGCCAAGATGGCGAACAACCCATCAAAGAAAAGATTTGGGTGCTATATGAGAAGTATATGGTTTTTAAAGGGGAATACATTGGGATTACTTTTCTAAGAAGGGAATAAATTGGGTTTCCTTATGCAGGTGATCAACCACAATGAGAATTAAAGGTGACCGAGCACCATGAGAGTTTAATCATCACTTCACTTCCTTTTTTCTTCTTTTGCCTTCTTCACCTTGAAGATGCTGGTGAAGAATCCAACCTAAGTAAACACTGTATGGAAGGCAAAGTGACAAATCATTACTGGAATTAGTGACATTCAAATAATTATCTTGTTGATAAATTTTGTTCTCCAACGTGTTAAGTTCTAATTACCTTTGTCCTTACAGTGGAACTTCTATTATATGCTCCAAAGCGACCAGTTGTGGACTTCTCTGTTGTGTTTTTGTGGATGATGTCTGTTGGAACAGTTGCATGTGCTACACTTTGGTCAGACATCACTGCTCAGCAGACCGAGGAGAGCTATAATGAATTATCACCAAAGGTGCACTCATAATTCATCGTTGTGGGGGAACAAAATATTGCTTCTAGGTGTAAAGCAAGTCTTGAAAATTTTCTCATTGTTTCATCCACAATTAAGGCTTTGATTGATGTCAAGATCATGCATCTGAATGAGTACTCAGTTTTTATTTTATTTTTTTCATGGTTTTCTGCAACTCATGGTTAGATGACGTAGGTTGCTTTGCTATGAGGAATAGATGTTTGTTTCCGGGTAACTCTAGATTGAAGAATCTACAGTCTATTTGTAGATTACACATCACTATGAAATTGGTCTTTAATGTGTTGGCTTAAAAAATAAAAATTATTTTTCCATGGTAGATTATTTTACTTTCCTACCATTCACTTTGATAAATTTTCTTTCGGGATGCCATCCCTTTTCTCTTGAAATTATGCCTTTTTTTTATCTTACGAACTTCTCTCTCTCTTTTTATTTTCTTTGACCAGGGACCTTCCAATATCGAAGCAGCCAAAGATGACTTTGATAATGAAACTCTGGATATTAATGTGCAGAGTGCAGTAGTATTTGTCATTTCGGCATCTAGTTTCTTGGTGCTGCTATATTTCTTTATGTCCTCGTGGTTCGTTTGGCTGTTGATTATAATGTTCTGCATTGGTGGTGTTGAGGTAATGACATAACTCTTGCATGTATGTTTTGAGATTTGTCCTAAACTAGGATACTAATTCTTTGTTGTGAGAAAATGAACACCATTTTGGAAGTATAGTTCATTTTCCTACTTGATCCTCGCCTTGGATGCTATCATCACATTTTCTTCTTCAAGTATTATAATTTTATATAATTATTTATTGCCTGAGAATGCAGAATGGTGCCTATTCAATCTACATTTTGATTGTCATTCTGATAATGATATTTGGAGGATCTAAGGTAGTGACAGCACCAAATCTAATAAACATATTCTCCCTATTTTTTAATCCATGATTTCTATTGAAGCGTGAAGAAAACCACAAATTCTTCTTGACTTCTATACAAGCCTCATTGCAATCTAACATATTAAGAGTCTTGGAAGATATACTCTCAAGACCACCAAAGTTATGACAAATAGATTCAAACGTGCTACGATCCCAAAAGGTTAGAAACAAATTCTTGATGGAGATCCATTACACAACCTTCAAGAAAATTCAAATGACTTTGCTTTTTCTTGAGGCTACCTTTAGATAAGCAAATGTTAATCACCATAGAGTCTCTAATTACTTTCAAAATCAAAAGCCTTGGATGAGTTTCCACCCTTAAAATTTAGTAAAGCCTCGTCTGCCTGGAAAGGATTAATTGAAGCAGAGTTCTTAAAGTGATCTTCCAAAGCATTTTTAATCTCCTTCTAATTGTTGTGAGCATACAATCTAAAAACAACCATGAGCTCTTTGAATTTTTTTCACCACTTCTTTGTCTTTCAAACCCAGTGAGAATCAGAAATGGAACTTTTCAGCCTTACTTAAAAAATCTATTGAGATCTCCTTGGCTGGAAACCCAATCCTCAGCTTTTCATTTATGTTCTTTGGATACATCCCCCACACTACAACCGAAAGAAAAAAAAAATCTCTTTTAAGACAATTTAACTAAATCCTTTGAAACATGAGAATTCTTGAGGAAGTCTTTTAACATTTCCCAAAAAATATACCAACCTTTTTATAAGAAATTCACAAAGACTCGAATCAGCTTTTATCCTCCAGAAGGTGGCTAAACAATGTAATCTATGAACCAGCCAAAACAAAACCTTCATTTTGACAAATGAGTTGTACCACTATCATCTCTAGTTTGCTTGAGAAAGTTCTTAGACACTGGAAGAAGCAAAAGATCTACAAGCAAGCCTTACAACCAGCGTAAATATGATAACGATGAAGGAATAATCATCTTGTTCTTCACATCTTGAACAAAGAAGACACCATCTTAAAACTAAATGCTAAAGTACTTATTATCAACACAGCAACTCCTTTCAGCCATAACAAAAGAAAATAAATAAATAATCGAAAAGAAAGGCAAAATATGAAGTTGAGAGTCCTTCGGACGGTTGCCAAATGAATGACAATGAAATTGATAGACAGTGCAAAATCAATGACTAAGGAAGAAGTCGGTGTTGACAGTGGAAGTGGCCACGACGGGCTACTGAAGCTAACCAATCATGGAGATAAAAGATCTTTCACAAACTAGACCCAAAGAATAAGATTGAGAACGAGGACGGATGCTGAATTGAGATTGTGTACAAGGACACAACAAAGGCGATTAGTCTATGGTAGTCTGTTGACGACAAATAGTACTGGTGGCAATGCGACTAGATTGGGTGAGGGCAGTGACTTGGGTTAGGTTCGACATCTGTGGCTATGGTTGGGTCCATTGGGTAGAGAGAAAAAACCTATTGGCTTGATGATGAATTTCAGCAAGTGGAACATAACTTTACTACATTAGAAGAGATAGATTCAATTGTTCCATTGGATTCAAGCATTGCTTCGAAGGAAGTTGATTTGTTGAATGTTGCTTTTCCTTAGCTGTATTCAGTCCCAAAAGAAGTTTATTTGTTGGCTGTTACTATTCCTTTATTTGTTATTATTCTTATTGCCTCGCCTTCAATTAGCGTAAGCTTGATAGAATTTTACCATCGTTCGTTTGGGAATGTAATGAGGGTAGCACACTTGGTTAGATGCAATTTTGTTGCAAAGACTCAAAAAGATGGTGTTCTTGGAATTGGAGCCCAATTGGGCTTGCGGTTTATGTTGGAACCTCAATTGCTTTGGAAAAGTATTGTAGTCAGTATCTATGGTTCTAGTAATTTTGGTTGGATTTCTGGCTCTAAAGGAGTTTTAAGCCTTCGTAATCCATGGATGATCATTTTTTAAATTTGGCAGCAATTTGATTTACTTGCTCACTTCAATTTGGGTAATGGAAGGAAGATTCGATTTAGCGAAGATACTTAGTTGAATCGTCCAGAATTAAAGCACATTTTTCCTTGGTTGTATTCTATTTCTTCTTCTCCAAATGATTCTGTTTCAGCTCATTGGGATATCTAAACTGGTACTTGGAACCTTATTTTTTGAAGGTTATTGAAAGATGAGGAGATTGACGATTATCAGGCATTGCTACTTAATATTTCAGATGTGATTCCTTGTATTAGGATTATTTTAAACGGTGGTCTATGATTCTTCGGGGTTTTTTTTTTTGGTGAAATCTTTAACTATTTGACGTCTTCCTCACCCATGCATAAAGAGTTGTATTCAGGTTTGTGGAAGACCAAGAGTCCTAAAAGAACAAATATTCTTTCGTGGATTATGGTCAATGGGAATTTAATACTTCAGACGTTGTGCAGAAGAAGAATCCATCTCATTGCATACTGTCATCAGTTTGTGCCTTATGTCTTTAGGATGAAGATTCTATCAACCATATTTTCTTTAATTGCTCGTATGTTAGACTTGGTTGGTTCAAGTTGTTTTCGCTGTTAAATCTGCATTGGGTTTTTTTCTAATGCCTTCTGTTGCAACATCTTTCAACTCTCATATTGGCCGACATTCTTAAACTCTAAGGCCAAGTTCCTTTGGATGAATGCAATCAAAGCTTATCTTTTGGAGTTATGGTTGGAATGGAATCAAAGAGTTTTTTAGAGCAAAAATCTTGCGTGGGTGGATCATTTTGAAACATCTCGTCTGGTGGCCTCATCTTGGTGTTCTTTGTCCAAGTTGTTTGGGATTTTTGCTTCAGGATATTGGTCTCAATTAGAATGCCTCTATATATCCTTTATAGTATTTTATTTATGGGTTTCGTTCTTGTATTGCTTTTTTTATAGTCTATTGTTTACTGTTTTTGTTGCTTTATCATTCCTGTGTGGAGTTCGTATCTTTGAGCATTAACTTCTTTTCATAGTCTTGTTCCTTGTTAAAAAAAATAATAATAATAAGGAAAGATTGACTAATAACTGAAAGTTAAAGACTAGGCTAAAATCTAACAGAGATAAATTTGATTTAGTTAAACAAGTCCGCTTCAAAATGTTCATTCACTGGACTTTCTAAAACTTGCTGCATTCTCTTTTGTGCATGCACGATTTTTGAATGTCCACTTGAATTTTGATACTTAACAGGGTCTTACCGTGGGATATTATAGTTTTTCTGATCAGAGTAGTTTCTGTCCACATTCCATTCAAATATTTTCTTTTTAATGGGTTGTCTTTTAGTGTGTTTTTATCACAGCTCTTTAATGTCTTTAATAACTTGTGAAGGCTTACCTTGCAGGGTATGCATTCCTGTATATTAGGACTTATATTGAGGTATGTTTGCTTGCATATTTATTCCTACAACTTATGAGTTGTTTATATGGTTTCTTTCTATAATTTTTCTTGTTTATATCATTCATTTGAGCAGTAGATGCAAAAATTGTGGGAAGAAGACTCTGAATTTGCCTTTAATAGGGGAAATCTCTGTTATTTCATTTGTTGTGCTGCTTTGTTGTATAACATTTGCTGCTGTCTGGACTCTGAATCGACGTTCATCATACTCTTGGGCTGGCCAAAATATTCTTGTAAGTATCCTTTTTGCTTTCTTTTGTTCTTCTAATTAATCTCTTAGTCATCGTATTCACTGATGGCGAGAGTTGTTTCGAGCATATTTTGTGGAAATAAAAGGGCCCTATATCTACTTTTCTCCTTGGAGATGAGAAATCATTTGAATTCAAATTGGTTTGTTCACTTGCTCCAATATGATTTTGTAGGCCAGTCCTGGTTTATTTTGAGTGTATGGAGGGCGAAATTGGCCATTTCTTTTTTGTTTGTGTAACTAATATATTGGATTTTATGTATTTTGAAGATTCTATTACGTTCTGTTTGTTTCCTGATTGACTTTTTGTATTTTGCTCTGAAAAGTTATTTGGAATTTTTTCCTTTGACCTTTCTATTTCCTTTGTTCACGTCTCATGTGCATTGTACAACTTTAGTGGGATGAGAAGTTATCAAGCAGAATGGCATGCTTGCATGTTTATTCGGATCGCGACATAAATTTGAGTGAAAGTTTTATTTAGTTTTCTTTAAAAGATTGTCTTAATTTTCACCAGCATCGTCTAGTAGTCAATTTGGTAAGCCATAAACTATATTACTTGGCTTTGAGATTGTGACTTATATGATTGGTATAGATTATGTTGTTTCTTGTCCAAAAGTTCTAATATCAATGTGAGCTGATTTATTAGTCTTTAATTTTATTGTCATTTTCATGATTGACCCCATTTTTCTCGTTTAAATTGTTCATGTGCAATCACTGGTGTAGCCATTTTACTTAATTTTACATTCCGTTCAAATTGTTCTCGTTCTAAGGTCACCTGTGTTTTAAGCCTCATGTTTCTGTAACTTTGCTGCTTCACTCTTTATTTGATCTATTTCAATGCTTACATTTTAAATTTTATGTTCTTAATAGGGTATCTGCCTGATGATAACAGTCTTGCAGATGTCCCGATTACCTAATATTAAGGTATCCCAAGTTCATCCATTTGGTTCATATACTGCTTCAAGGCCCTTACAATCTTTAATTATCTCAGGTAGCAACGGTACTTCTTTGCTGTGCATTTGTCTATGACATCTTCTGGGTGTTCATATCCCCAGTAATATTCCAAGAAAGTGTAATGATTGCGGTAAGTATATGATTTTTTCTGTATATTTACTTCGAACTTAATTTCCAATCAAATTCAAGTAGTGTAATGATAGACACTCAATAAGAGACTATTAAACGAACATAGTGTGGTTTCAAGTGGCATGTTTTGTATGTCACCTGTATTGAAAGCCTTATGTTTTTGGGTTCTCTTGTTGTATGTTGAGTATTTTTCTTGCTTGGGTTTACTATTCTTTCTTTCTGGCACTATATTTGGAAACTGACTTGTTGATCGTATCTTGCTAAGAAGTCTAATCTAGCTAGAAGATAAAACTGATTATGATTGTACAGGATATGAAATATAGATTTCCTCCACATATTAGGCTTCTGCAGTTATGAAATAGATTTTCCTTTTCTTTCGTCTTTCTTCTAAATCCACTTTACTTTTGTTTGGTGAACGTAAGAGCTCGATTATGAATATCCTTCAGCTATCATTCCAGCTCTCTCTCACAAAGCCAAATAATATATTGTGGGTTAAAGTATCCAAGGCTACTCTTTTGGATATTTGATTGTAGAGTTTCTAATGGATTTTTTAAAGAAAAATCCACTATTTGGTTGGATTGTTCTGAGCTTACCAATAGCAATATCAAAGCTTCTCGAAGGTGTTCTTTATCCAAACTATTTGTTGGATATTCAATCCAAGTTATTTGTAACTACTGAGGCCTTTCTTGTAGGATTTAATGTTCTTTTAACCGAAAGAATCAAGGCACCAGTGCTTCAAATCAACACAATCAACTACCTTTGCCACTTCCAAATAGAAATGATTGTTGAATAGGAAAATTTTCTTTTTTGTTGCTTGTTTTTGGCAGATCTTATTCTTCTGTATCCTTACTCTTATTCATGAAAAAAAAAAAATCTACTTGAAATAAAGTACTTGATAATGTAATTTATTGTGTTTTCACAAGGAATATTGTTAAGATGTTTAATGGGGTTAGATTAAAATATTTAACTATATATTTACTGGGGTTAGTTTGTACATCTCATGCAATTTCTTTCTACTTCAAAAGTTCCACTAGCCCACTTTATAATTCCCAAAATGCATGGAATGAAATTTATCGTGTTGGATATGTTTGTAACTTTTTCAGGTTGCCCGCGGGAACAATAGTGGTGGGGAAGCCATTCCAATGCTCTTGAGAGTTCCTCGCACCTTTGACCCTTGGGGCGGCTTCGATATGATTGGATTTGGAGATATACTCTTCCCTGGTTTGCTTGTTTCGTTTACACACAGGTACTGATGTCACTTACATTACAATGCCACTATTATAACACAGGACAGTTTCTGTGTAAGATTTTTTTGCAAGCCGTGATGCATATCATTGAACAATCTACAAGATGGAAGTTCTAAATCATAATGCAATTTTGTTGATATTTGAACGGTAGATTGATATTTCTATAAATCCTTATTTCTCCATTTATTTAAACAAGCCCTCTTGTTTAACTCTAAGTTGAAGCATTTATCTACTTATGTTCAATCCTAGAAGTCATTACTTCCTCTCTTTAAATCTTATACACATTTGATCAAACTAAGGCATCTACTTCCTTCCCTTGAGGTTGGAGGTAACCTCACTCCCACATTGCTCCCACGTTTTCTGTCTAAAAAAGAATAGGAAGATTTATCAAAGATCCCTAAATTAAGCAATTATGCAATTAGTCCGTGTCTTAAAAAAGAAAACAGAAATAATATCTTTAAATTACAGCTCCATTCTCTAAGAGAGTGTAGGTACCCACTTCGATAATTGCACATATCATATGTTAATGCCATCAAGATGAAGTTAAACTAGCTGAAATTCTAGACCTTGGAGGACAGATCGAATGATATGCAGGACTTGCATGTTGATATTGAATGATGAAAATATAACCATGTTTACCATTTTGAACTGTTAATAGTTATATTCTGTACTTATGTTAAACTTTTTTTTTTCCCCAATTTATTAGTTCATTCTCTTATGTTGGTTTGTTAACCCAGATTTGACAAAGCAGAGAAGAAAGAGAAGTGTAATAGATATTTTCCTTGGTTGCTCGTTGGATATGGAACTGGTGAGGACCTTTTCAGCATGTTTTTTTCGATTATCTTTTTCATTTCGATTATCTTTTCAGCATGTTTACTCGTTGGATATGAAACTGTTAATAGTTATGTTCTGTACTCATGTTTTTTTCGATTATCTTTTCTAGTAAAGTTTGTTTTGTACTTATGTTTTTTTCGATTATCTTTTTCATTTCAGAGAGATTGAGATAGTCCCCTATAGTTTTGGTGGCGGCAAAGATGTTTTGTAATTATTTTTTAGCTCTTAACTTATTTTTATAAAAAAAAAAAAAAGGAAAAAAAAAAGTTTAGATATATGTGTAAACTCTCTTTGTAACAAGTTGATTAACATAGACTTGAAATCTAGTTGTGTCTAAATTATATAGTTTACAAGAACTGATTATTTTAGTCCCTTTAATGATATTGGATCAACCTTTTTCAGGTCTCTTCTTTACGTATTTGGGCTTATATTTAATGAATGGACATGGCCAACCTGCACTCCTTTATCTAGTTCCATGCACTCTGGGTAACAAGTTTTGTTATCTTATTCTGCATCTTTTTTTTTTTTCTTTTTTTTTTCTATTAGATCATATCCCAAATCTTAAATTTACCTCGTTCGTTTTGATTTACATGCAGGTGTTACTGTTGTTTTGGGTTTGATCAGAGGTGAGATTGGTCTACTTTGGAATTATGGAACAGAAGCTGCTGGAGAACCTTAAAGGTTTTTTCTTTGGTGGTGAGGAGGGCACTTTTTATAATTTTAACATCTTTTTACTGTATCCCCAACACTTGATGTATCTATGAGAAATGTATTTCTATAATTTGATCAGCCTTGAATGGTTCCAAATTTATAAATTCATTTTTTAAAATTTAAATAAAATATTTTAACCATTTGAAGTTGGGTCCGTTAGAATTTCTAACCATGCGACCTTTGTTCGACCTTTGTGAGATTTGAATCTCTAACCTTTAATTGAAAGATGTGCCTTAGCCAAGATTTGAATCTCTAACCTCTTAATTGAAAGATGTGTCTTAGCCCGTTGAGATATATTGAGATTGACAGCTATTCAAAATGTTTTATTACGAAAATAATTTTATAAGGAGTTCAAATTCATTTCATTAGGGAAGTTTTATATTCGTTTGTGTTTCCTCATAACCGAACATTTTCAACATGTGAAAGAAGAAAAAGAAAACTTCATTCTATTTTCTTTACCATTCTACACTTGAAGTCAATTGAACACTATTTATGGTACCATTATTTCAATTGATTGATTATAAATTAGTCCATCATCTTTGACCATTACAAGAAAACCATACCATTTGGAACAAAGGAAAGAGCTGGACTATCCTCTCAATTGAGATATGGATGAAATATAATAAAATAGAGTCACTTTGAGATTCTCTATGAAATGAGGCATGGAACGGAGCCACTACGAAGAAGTTCCGGGAGTTACGAAGGAAACCTCGAGCTCATATTGGTCATGGGTTGAGAACGAGAATTGAATTCTCTGAAACCTAATTTACCGTTGTTCCTCAGTAGCTCATACAATTTCAAAAATACTTATGCTAACGCCTTTCAAGTAAAGTTGATAATATCTTCCATCCAATAAGTTCATATTGAGTTTGATCTAAAACACTATTAGGTTGCTTAGAATTTTTTTTTATCGAACCCTAAATAAGAAATTTCATACATTTTAAGAACAAACCGATCCTCCCAAACCAAAAAATAAAAAATTGTTGCAACATTTTTCTACTCAAACATGACAAAAATAATTAGCCAAACATGTTTTTTACGAAAGTGAGACAAGACAAAGATCCAACCTACAATGAAACATGTTTTTGAGAGAGAGAGAGAGAGAAGGAAAGAACATGTTTTTAGAGAGAGAAAATCCAGCTTGCTCAATATTTGATGCAAAGTTTGTAAATTCATACAAAATTCATACAAAATTTCATTTTTTGTTCCTACTAATAAGAACATCAAGAGTAAAAAAGAAAGGGTTCTTCAGATTTATCTATTTCATTAAAAAAAAAAAAATGGCTCCTTTATATATTTACATCCAGAAAAACAGTATAAAGTCTATAAAAAGTGTAGCTTTTTCTCAAGGCATGCACAATTATTATATATATATATATATATATATATATATATATATATATATATATGTATGCACAAAAATAAAATCTCTTTCTCTCTCTATCTACTTTCTCTCTCATCTTGTTTGTATAGTTTATTGAATATGATCTATGGTTGATGAAAATTGTGTTGGATATCAATTTTTTGATAAATGATGAGCTATGGCATTCATGACCTTAACCTGCGCGGAGAGGCAATGGATGTAGTCGGCAGTTTCCTCCAGCAAGGTGCACACGTCCATTCCGTCGCCACCCGGAACTAAGCGGCGGAGCTTCCCGACATGGTCGTCGGGGTAGGCCGAGGGCATGGTTGAACAGCGGCGTCTCATCGAAGTCCTATGTCTAGCTCGAGTATTGAGCTTGAAGAGGAGGGCTCTAGCCCATGTCCGTTGTGGCCCAGCCACGCGAGCCATGGAGGAGTAGGCTGCGATTTTTATCCGTCGACTCCGGCGTCTAAGCTCGAAAGCGGACCGAGAGGCCGCAGTGGTGGGTCTTCGGGATTTGATCCGGGAGAAGGACCGGAGGAAGGTTCGAGCTAGTCGGAGAGAAGATGAAGAGGAATTCATCGGGGTTATACCGGATTCATAAGCCATTGAGAAAAAAGATAGATCGAGAGAGACAAGGATCTCGAATTCCTAGTACAACTAACTCTCTGACACAACAAATCTTTTTGGAGGTTGAGATTTTGTTGTGTAGAGGGACCTCTTGGTTGGAAGGACAAAAGGCAAAGACTTGAGGCTTAATAATAATGTTAAGTGATCACAAACAAACACTATAAAGCTTAAAAACACAGACTTTCAGAGAGAAAGAACCTGATAGGGGAAGGAATGAAGCAATAGGAGAAGGAATAAGAGGATTGGAATTGGATGGCTATGGGGAATTTTGGGCTTTAGGAATCCAATGGCTTTCTTTATAATTAATCACTTTGAGAGGGTGTAGAGCGGGGATCACGCGTCGAATACGACACTAATTATCATCTCAAATTAATGGTTCAAAAAGTATGATTGTAACGGTCGGTATCAGAGCTGTATTTTGTGTCAACTTCTCCATACCCGATAGTTATATGCAGTAAATCGTTGTTGTTGTTGTCTTTTGTTTGCATTCTCATATAGCACCAATTTCAATTCCTCAAATCTTGTTTTCAAAACTCTTCCAAAATCTCTCTGCCCCCGTTTTATAAAACTTTCTTCTTGAATCGAGGCTGGAGGCTCGAGAATACATCGTTTGGCCGTAGGTGACACAAGAACAAATAGGCTTAACTCACTTATTGCTGGAAAGTGAGTATAGCACAATTGCAAGTACGCTGTCATTAAAGTGCGATTATGATAAGTGGTATCAGAATAAGAAAAGTTAGAGAATGAACCTTCACAGATTTACTAGCTTGGGCAAGGTAGTTGTGTTGTTAGAACTAGAAATAGTTGTGGATTAAAGCTAGGCTCTTCGAGATTCGAGAGTGTCGTGTGTCGACACATCGTTGAGGAGAGTCTTATATGTCTTGGAACCAAACTCATTAGTTAAGAGCTTGGAATTCGATTTTTTTTTTTTCTTTGTAAGAAAGGCGATGGATTTTTCAATCCTGATAGAACATGTGCACCGTGTCATAATCGTACTTTTCTTGGTTGTTGATTTTTACGATTGTGCGGCACTCACTCCCAACACCGAATGGGTCAAGCCAATTTGGATTCACATCCACTACGGTCGAGCAACGTATGTTCAAACCTCTAGCCCCGTCTTGAGAAGAAGGGGGAGAGAGATTTTCGAAAGAGAGTTTGGAAAGCAAGGTTGAAAGAAAGATGAAAGCAGGATTATATAATTATAAGCAAAAAAAAAAAATACCACCGCTTAATTATTATATCACTCGAAGTAGGAGTAATTAACAATTAATAGCATCCCCGTATAATACATTTTGAGACGATTCAAGTCTGGTGAACTCATACATGATTTTGTCGAATAGTCATACGAACAGAAAATACAACATGAAATCAATTAAAGGGTTTGGCGTGGCCCACGTCTTGGACGAGCATGATCGTGACACTCCATACGCGTTCGGGATGGGAGAATATATATATATATATATATTTCCTCTAAAGAGTTTTGTTGATTGTAAAGAAAAAAATAATAGTGACAAATTGTGGTGAGAGAAAGAGGAGAGAGATTAGGGTAGGAGAAGTGGAATGTGGGACCCAGATAGGGCCAACCACCACATGAGAGCACATGGGATGGGTTTACCCACTTGTCTCACGAAGAGAACCTTTAATTTATTTATTATTTATTATTTATTATTTAATTTATATTCTTTTCTTTTCTAAAAACTAAATATTACCTTAAAATTTTCAACATTTTTGAGATAATTATTATTAATTTGATTTTATACCATTAATTATTATAAATTTATCAAATAAACATTTGTATACGTAACGAGCAAGAACATGTTCACACAAAATACAAGAATTTTCACTTTATTGAAAATTACCCATTACCCAAAAACTTAAATCAATAATATCATTGTTAAGAACAACTAAGATCTAATGAGGATTTGCACGTAGTTTCCTGTCTTTGACCTCAAATAAAAAGTTACTTTTTGGTCGGTTCCTTTTATTAGTTGAGATAGAAAAGTGGAAGCTTTCCCTTCGTACCTCACACGAAATAACCTATAAAATGTGATCATCACAGGGCTAATTAGATTTTTTGTGCAATGCCTTGGATTTTGAGTTATTAAAAGGAGTGAAAAAGAATAGTTGGTACCTTATGAACGGACATAATCAAACAAATTTAGTAATCAAATCATAAGAAATCGTTATGTCAGTGTGACAATCACATGTGACAATGCATCGATGCTTATTAATTCATAGTACAAATCATATCCTATAAAACCCAAAAAAATAAATAATGAAAATTTATCAAAAACAGTATTAGAAGAAAAGGGTAAATTGGTCAAAGTGGGGGGAGGATTTTTTATTTTAGAAAGAATTAGGAAGGTTGTTGAAAATGGACATTTCAACATCCACCAAATTCCAAAATTCCTATAATATTTAAACCATTCATACTTCTTTCCTTCTTTCTCTAAGTTCTTATTCCCTTTCTGATGCCTTTTGCGCACTTACAAATATTTTATAATCTCTCTCTCTCTCTCTCTAAACACCACTTTCCTTTTGACCTTTTTAACCTTTTTAACCCACTAATGCACTTAGCTCCATTTACCACAACCTCTTGTGTGCAAAAACAGCATCTTTCCATGGCATATCCCAAATCAAATCAGAGCTTTCGAGGCCGAAAAGGAAAAGAAAAAAAATCACGAGAAAACTTGGCCTCGAGAGGCATAACTCGACTATTCAATCTAAAAGATCACGAGAAAAAGCCAATAGAGAGACAGGAAAAGAGAAAGAGAGCCAAGGAAACAGGTTTCCTTCTCATTCATTCATCCACAAGTTTTATATTATAAAAGAATCAAAAACAGCAGCAGCCACAATCCACATGGTCAAAAGCTACCCTTAGTAGCTCTCTCTGCAGCGAACCCAAAAAAACTAGCCAACTCCGTCGCCCGTTGCAAAACCAGGACACCGATGGAGGGAAATACTAACCTAAACTTCGACTTTTATGAATACAGGCCGAGGTCGAGACCTTTATGAATACAGGCCGAGAAACAATCAATCACAAAAATAATACCGATCCGTTCGACATAATTTAAGAAGAAAAGGAATGAATGATCAAAAATACTACAGACCCTATAGCCTAAGCAGGAGAAAAAAAAATGGGAGATGTGGATGAACTTTCTATATGAAATATGCCTGGGCAAAAATGAGACGAGACAAACTAGGATAGGCAGTTATGTTCTGCCATCCAATGCATGGGACTCACTGAACCATCGACCCAAACCGAACTGTCTGGGTCGAAGGATAATCGACTCTGGCAACTTGAGACTATTTGCATTGTCTTTAGGTATGGGAACTTGGCTGGCACCACCATGTCAAGCAACTTCAGATCTGAACTTTTGGGGGCTCAGACATCATCCATGGACACTGAACCCAATCAAATCAAGAGAATGGCAACCGACTCTTTTTGCATTCAATCAATCATTTACTAAACCAATGGACATGAACGGGACCAGGAGAGCAATTCAAAATTTTAGCCTTACAAGTGACAACTCGACTCATGGTCACGAAGAGGCGGCTGTGGCTTTTTCCAGTTTCTCCTTCTCAATTTCTACTCTCCGCTGCTCAGCATGCTGCGCTACACCGTGTGCAAGAGCCTGATATTGGAACTCTAGTGATTGGGTAAGACTCTGGAACCTCATTGGATCTGTTACTTGAATAGCTTATTTTTTCAAATAGGAAGGACCAAAACATATATATAGTAAGTTAAGTGATATCAGGAAGTTTGGAACTTAATAAATCAAACTAAAAGAAGTTCCACATACCTTTGATTGTATCTACAAAATAAATAAAAGGGTCCACATCATCTAAGGGAGATTGCATCTCGTCATCATCGTCATCATAATCATCATCTGAGTCATAATCATCTTCATCAACCGGGTGGAAAGATTTGGCCTGCAAAGTCCGTTCAAGAAGAAATTACAACGCAACTCAGGTTTGAGTTCTTGTATAATTTATCAGAGATACTTATAAAACGCTGATATCATTCCAGACTATCACTTATGATGCAGACCTGTGCAGCCAACTTTTGAAGCTTGATGCTGTCAACTTCATCACCGTCCTCAGCATCAAATCCCATTTCCTTGTCAGAACCATCTCCATCATCATCTCCATTGCTTTGGTAACCATCCATATCATCATCTTCTTCAGCTTCCTCCTCCTCTTTTGCAGCTTCTGTATGCAAAGGAGCAGAATATATATGTGAATTCGGCCTGCAATTATAGATGTAAATAAGGAACAAGAGATAGAGTGAGTGAGTGAAAGAGAGACCTGCAACTTGATCCTTGTAAGCAACAAGTAGATCAAGGGTGGCCCTAAAAACACGCCCAAGAGCCTCCCCCGGTACTTGATCGGCTGGAAGTGCAAGCAAAGATGTCAATCCCAAGCAGCAAACTTTTTTATCTTGTTCCCTGCAACATGACAGACCATTCAGGTGGAAAATCCAAACCATCCAGAGAACATCAACAGCAAGTAACCACCAAGAAGAAAGAGAGAGAGAGAACAATAATTTACTTTCTAAAGTTAGCTCGTACACCACTCTTTTTGACCTCTTGTAGCATCTGAAACCAAAGATTGAATACATTTGTTGCAACACCTAGCGTTTGCAATATGTTGAGTGATAATGATGCATTGTAGTAAAGAGCATCAGAAATCTGCAAGAGAAATTTCAACAAAACCCTCAGCTCAATTTACACCAAGCGAACAAAAAATCTCAAGAAAACTACCTGGTGAGCCTTAAAAGAAAGTCTGCAACTGTAAATACCATCAGTAAAACAAGCAAGATACTTACACAGTGAGAGATTCAAGTGTTCTGTACCAATAAATTCTTCAAGTAACCAATATTTATATTTATATTTATAAGAAAAATGCTAAAAGAATAACAGGAGCAAAAATAGAACCCAAAGCATGTCATACAAGCAAATGTCATTAACTATTAAATTGGTTGCTGAAAAAGATCGTGCTTAGAGTATCTCTACAAAGGATCAAAAAAACTCCCTATACTTGCATAATTTATAAATCATTATACCATTGAACATTCCAGAATAGAATGGAATCTCATAAGATACCAAGTTCCAAACAAGATAGCAATAAGAGATATCTAATTCCCCTGCTAATGGTTAAATTCAATTATCTTAAATAGCATGTCATCTGGAAGTAATACTCAGAGTATGAAGAACCAAGGAGCAAGCCTGACATGTATTGCGATAGGGGAGAAAAGCTATATAGTATATTGACCTAACTCCTCAACCCTTACCACTTGCATTAGAAGACATTTCAAGTATGACTTCTCAGTTCGGTCCAGGCGTTCAATTGTGATTCTGAGATACGGTTCAATCCATTGATCCACTTGACCTTTGCAATTTTGAAAGACAACTTGAATAAGCTTTGGAGCAGGCTCAATATCGCCATCTTCCAAATTCTTGTCAGCCATTATCTAGAGTAAGATGGTACGAGCTTATCAGATTGGAGGCAAGTCAACAAAAATAGTTTCAGCAGCTAAGTTAAAGTGCGACTACTTTTTTCTTTTCTTTTTTTTAATAAGAAACCAAGAAAGATCGTCACTAAATAATCAACATAATCACCCATTAACGAACCAAATAGGGAGAAGAGTTATTTTCATGGTTAAATCTAAATATGGATGTATTTACTGTATTGTATTTTCCTTTCTTCTTTCTTTTTCATTCCCTCTCGAAGTTTGTATTCCTTGAATATCTATTCATTTCATCATTTCAACGAGAAGTTTTATCTTGTTCAAAACAAAATGGAAGATATAACTTCTCTTTCAAGAGTAAAGCAACTCACTGATGAAATCATGTTCCAAAGACTTTGCTGGTAATCAGGAGCTTTGCATGTGAGGAAATGTGCAGTCCCCCTGGATACAAAGTTGTCCAACGGAACAAGTATATCTGTGAACAAGAAGACATCAGAACCAGCCATCTTATACCCAGGGTCATTTAGTGCAACATTCATTTTATATATCTGCATGCTAAAAGTCATACACTACGCCAGAAATAATTGTGTTAAATAAATACGAACATGCATGACACTAAATGTCTGATATACTGCAAACAGACTAACCCTTAAAAAGTTATAAAATGCAACAGCATGAACATTACAACTAAAACTGGACTTGATTTATGAAAAACAAAACTAAATAAAAAATTAAAACTAGTCTTGATGTAACCAATGCTAGTTTGAATACGTATGGAGTTATGTTATGGAGTTATGTCATTCCAGTGAGCTACATGCTTCCTCTAACAGCCATTCTTTTCCATTATCTCCATCTACATCATTTATAGATAAGGTGCAGCAAAGGGTACCAAACCACTAGACAGGCTTCACTAGCATAACTCTGTTTCACATTGCCCATCCAACCAGAAAATAGTTAAAACCCTTATGACCACTACCTCAAACTTTTCCATGCATCAAGAGCCCATGCACTTTTTCATGCAATTTTTCAGAAATTTTATTTGGCAACAGAATTAGACAACTAGACTTACACCAGGAAAGAATTATGAGTCCTATTGCACAAAGCAGAATGTAAAAATCAACTGTGTTTAGAAGTTCCTTGGTATGCCCATAGAGCTCATATTATCGTCAATAATGAATGAGTTTGCTTGCTACAAAGACAACATACTTGGAAAAAAGTCAATGGCCCATTCTGCCAATGCTTCCATCATCAGTGGCCAAAGACTCCACAAATCCATGGATATGGTAGGGGAAAAGAATGTCATGAATGAAGCAATTTCCAAGACTTCTTCAAATACCTCTGCAAATAGCATCAAAGATCAAATAAGACATTAAAGCTTTAAAAGGGAAGAGGAACAAACACCTACTGCAATTATTGGCACTAATTTTTAAGTTACAATTAAAAAGTTTGTAAACATGGACTTTAAAATTAACTTTTTCGTTGATATATGAAAAACAAGTTTCAAAAAGAGAATGAAATGGATTTGTTCCCAGATACTTCCGCAAGAAAATCAAAACAAGAAGAAAGCACAGGAACCATCTCACAAGATCAGAAAAAGAAGAATTAATTACATCAAATATTAACTCAAGGAATGTAATCAGCCAACAAGAAGCAAGAGAAGTATATTTCAAAATGATGCAAACCTTGGCCGTCAGTTGTCAACATCCTTTGCATTATTGGGAGCAATGTTGACTCAACTTGGACAAAAAGTCGAGGAATTCTGTTCACTGATTCAAGAATCGTGCTAATTGCACGCAAACACCCAACTGCAGCCAAAGCACCAGAATCATCAGCTTCATCATCTGCTTCTGCAGTATTCATACACCTCCAGAAAGCCGCAGCCTGGATCCAATTTCAAAAAGTCACCTCTGAGCCGTCAATAAAAATATCCACATCTATTTCTGTATTGAAATTAGAATTAAAAATACCAAATTGTGACACAATCCAAGCGCATAAGGAGCCATTTCCTCCCCAAATTTATCAACTATAGTCTCCAGAGTAAATACAAGTTCTTCATTTTCAACCTCATTCATAAGCTTAAAAAATTCTGAAAAGAAAACGTTCCCAGTCACTAAATATAAGCAAAATAACAACTATTTATGACCATGACATGTTCATCAACTAACCGTCAAGAAGTCGTGGAAGGATAGGACGGATTTCATTCAAATCTGCAAATTAAACGAAACTCGATTCCGTCAATAACTGAAATCCAAACCAGCATTTAGACCAAAAATATTAGTAAGTATCTAATATAAAGTATAAACTGCCACCATAAAATATGCTTGGTGGTTCAAGCATTCCTACGCCCTCTAAGAGATTGTAATTCAAGTCTCCACCTATCTATTTGTGATGGGAAATTCTCAAGAATATATCTATACATAAAGTATAAACCTCTGCAAGCTTCAACAAAAGATCTCAATGCAAAAACTGAATCAATGCGAACGGGGAGTTCTGAGTCTCGCATCCCAGAAACAACACTAATCAAGGCTATTCTGAAATTATTCTGGTCAGCAAAATTGATATGGGCATATTGTCCTGCAACCCATGCTGCCTGTAGCAATTAAACCAAAAACGTTAATGAATGTAAATTTAAAGTGGATGACATGATTTATCAAACCCAACATCATAATATGTTTTCACAAAAAGCACAATTAGAATGAGAAAACTACAACTTGTGTACAACGAAAATGAGATATGGGATCACATGCAAAAGCTATTATACAATTTCCGCATCCCTTTGCGCTTCTTTTAGGCTAAAGAAGACAAATCCATCCATTTGATAAGATTATAAACAATAAAGAAAAAATGGCTGCAGAATGCTTATGCAGTAGCCCTACTATGCTAAACAAAGGATGTAATCATAATAAAACTAGTTTCGTTTAGAAACAAAATTACATATATATATATATATAGAGAGAGAGAGAGAGAGAGGAAAGGTGCATTTAAAAGCATCCAAGTCTTGTGAATAAATAGAAGGCTCTAATAAGAGAAGCATCTTCATGCCCCAGCACACTTCCATAAAATCTTCTAGTGGAAACCCAGAAACGAGATTACCGGCATATTAATATACTGTTAAGTCATTAAGGTTGACTAACATTTTTTCACAGTTGTTATGTTCATATTAGATATTATTAATAAAAACAATTGATTAAGACCACAGTAAAGTCTACCGGACCTTAGCTCTGAGATGCCCAACATGACTGCAGAATTCAGGAAAAACATGTTGAACTAGCATGCTCTCAAGTTCAGCCTTGTAGGGTTCTGTTTGTTTCAATTTGTCACATAGGGCTCCAATAGCAAGAAGAGCCCCATCTTTATGTCTATAGGGCTTCAATTCAAGAGGTGATTCATCGTACCTGGGACAGTATATTGCATTGTATCATATTTCACGGGAACAGAATCAGCCATTGACATCAGATCTATAAACATACCTATTGAAGATTCCAACGATGAATTGGATAAACTTTGGAAGGTTTTCTTTCCCACGCTTCCTAACCAGCTCACTGACAAAATCCATAGCAGCAGTCCTTGGACTATATAAATCCTCGATAATATCTACAAAATATGTGTGTAGCATTAAAATATGAGCAGTGTATTCATTAGTTCAAGCTTTCCAAGAAGTAAACCCATTTCCATGTGCCTTACCATAACCCTTCCTCACATATTCATGAGGATCTTCATCCCAAAGCTTCTGATCATCGTCATTGAAGCACATGAGGGGGAAAATTATTTCAAAAAGCAGAACATCAAGTCGAGGTTGCAACAAAGAGTACATACTATTCCTTGTGATACTGGAACAAAAAAAAAACATCAGAAATCAAGGGATAAAAATATATTCATAATATCAACTTACAGCATAGAGAAAAACAATGAGAATTCATACAAAATTCATTTTTCTCCCCCTTATAAAATGAACCCACTTTCTACTTAAAATATTAATATCCAACAACTAATTTTCCTCCAAAGTTAGACAGGAAAGCTAGAACTTCTGTCAAAACAACTCCTTAACCAGTGACAGATAAAAGTGCCATATCCTTGTTACTTCAGTTACAAAATGTTCATATTTCAATTCTAACCGTGAATATACATTATAAAAAAAATATCAAGTGAGTCCTTTCCACCTAAGAGTTTAAAAAATCAGAGAAGGAAGTGGAAAATAGCATGCATAGGAACAGAATATTCTGTATGGAACTGGAAGAGGAAAAAAAAAAGTTAGACCACCTATTGCTTAGGTATTGAAGAATGAGATTGGTAACTCGATCTGGCAAATAGCCACCAGCACGTATCACATTCAACAAATTTAAGTGACATTCCATGACCTTCCCTGCATAGTTCTTCTGAAACGCTTGAGCAAATGCTCTACTTTCTGGATTCTTAAGTTTCAAATCTCCAAACCTATAAATTATGAGTCAGTAGCAAGAATACCAGAGGAAAGAAAGGGGGGGGGGGGGGGGGGCC